GAAGTTGAACTTTTTGAAGCTGAACATTTGAAGCTCAAACCACAGGAAAACACCAAGCCATTCTCTAAAGAAAGCAGAAGAACCCACGAGTCTTATATTGTGTTGTTTCAAGGGATTAGATTTACCGTCAATCTTTTGCTCCACAGCCTTTCCACCCATGGAGAAGATGTAAAGTTAGGTAGAGTGGCTCCTTGGAGATGCTTCTTATGGAATAGGAAGCCGGAAACAGCTATCCTTATTTGCATGCATAACAAAAGACCTCACTTTCAAAAAAAACCCCAACATTACAATTTATTTTATAAATAGTAACCAGATTCTTCATTTTTTGAGGCTCCTGCTAAGGTACATTAGTTGGTTCATGGAGATTTGTTTTAGAAGTGGAGCGGGTGGGAGGGAATGCTGAATCATGTTTAAAAATGAATTAATATTGGTGGCAAAATCAGGACTTTTTGTTGACCAAGGTGTTGTGGCCCGCCAGTGGAGCTGGCAGCAGATTCGGACAGTGAGGAGGTTGGGGAGGAACATGGGCCAGTCCTGGAGTCTGGGGAAGGCTCTGATGAGGGCTCTGCGTCGGAGGCAGAGAGGGGCCTGGGAAACTCAAATTGGGAGAGTCCGACTTTCCTTTTAAACCTGCAGGAATCTGGGCTCCATCCCATTATGCAAATTCAGCTTGTTCCTCTTTTTATTCCTTCTTTCATCCCTTCTTTCATCTCTTCTTTCAATCAAATCCAGACTGAAAATCAGATTAGAGTGAACCAGAGTTGAGGAAGCTTCTTGGGCCAAAACAGCCATTGATCTCAATATTCGGTTGTTTTTATTTTGGTTAAGAATGAATCAACTTTTCTTGAAAAATCCAAACTTTCAGTTCATCAAGGATGAGATGATAACACGGCCAATTCTTAAACTGGGATCTAGAAAGCTTTGAAGAAGAAGGAAGATGATGCTTCCACTGTGGGTTGATCTCCTGTCTGAAAGGAGCGTTGTGCAAGCTTATTTTGGAGGAGAACCTCATTTTGTCAGCCCATGAGACTTGTGTTGAGGGAGACAACTCATAGCTTATGGAATTCTCCATGAATGCTGTGCAGAGTTTCAAAGAGGAATTGCTGGAGTCAAACATGACATCAGATCAAGCAGAGAAATGGGCCGAACAACCATTGATCTCAAGCAGCAAAGGGTTGGACTAGAAGATCTCCAAGGTCCCTTCCGACTCAGCTATTCTGTTGTTCTGTTATCAAGGGCAGCCTCTGTCTGCTACTCATAAAGAACAGGCCAGCTTCATTGAAGCTTCTGTCTGAGCGCGAGAGAAAAGGGATGTCGCTTGAAGACATGAGATCACTGGAAGTCCTTTTCAATGCTTCTTCTTCTTCTTGACTTGGAGGTTTTTGTCTCAGTTCCTCCTGGGTTTGTATCACTGTGGAAAGCACTACTAGCACCATACCACACAGCACAGTAATAATCAGCCTCGTCTTCTGGCTGGAGGTCCCTGATGGTCAAATACCATTTATTTTGGCTGCTTTCCTTGGAGGCAGAGAAGCGGCTGAGGTCTCCAGTGCCTGCGCTTGCACTGCTGTAGTAATGATAAAGGAATCTGGGAGGATTTCCTTCTTTCTGTTGATACCAGGATTGATCATAAGATTGTACTTGTCCACTGCTCAGGGAACAAGAGAGTTTGACCGTCTGTCCTCGGGGAGGTGACATGGAGGATTCCTGAATCACTGTAGGCTGGGAACTGGATCCTGGGAAGAGAATAATTGTCTAAGTTTGTGTTCTTGGGGTCATTAATTGGGAAGGTTTTTGCATTGGATGGTCCTTCACTCACCTGTGCACCAGATCCCCAAAAGGACAATGAGAGATAGTCCCAACATGTTGAGACCTTCTTGGGCTTCTGGTGAGTGAGCCCCTCTGTTAACGCAAGTACCTTTTATTGGGGGGCTTCTTCGATCAACCCTCTTTTTCCCCCCAGAGCTTATTTGCATGGTTTGCTCCTCCTCCTCCTTTCCTGACTTCTCATTGGTTCACGTGTCTCAGTAGAGGGGCACCTTCATGCAGGTGATGCTTACTTATTTTCTTGCATCAAGGTGTCTCCTGAGAGTTTGTAGAGGATTTTGGTTAGTTATTGGTCTAGGAGAGGACTAGCTTCGATCCTGTTTTCTCCACCTGGCATGGAAGCAAGGTGGGTGGTTTGGGCCAGTCACTCCTCTGGACTCTTCCTTGGGATCTCAAAATACATCCTGGAAGTAGCCAATGGCCAAATGGTCCCCCTCTCCTCAGTTTATTTAGGGTCAGCTCTATTCAGCCTATCTGTTGTTCCATCTATATTTGGGACGGTGGGATAAAATCCTGTTGATGTTCCTGCTATCCGGTTCTAAGAGTGATGTTAGGAAACTCAAGTGTCAGGTAGCTGCCTCTAGCCACATCCAGCCTCTTAATCAGAAGAAACTGTTGTTCCTCTTACACAGAAACTCACAGATCTGGAAGGAATCAGTTTTCTTTAGATGCCATCAGAAATGACCAAAGTAGATGTTTGTGGATTGCTTTATCTTCACCACATTGGAGTGTGTGTTTGCATGGAGAAATTTCAGTGCTCTGGTTTAAGAATTTGAGCTTCACTGGAGAGTGGTGATCCTTCTGGGTTCCAGTAATCTTAGATCAGGGTTAATTCTTAAAAGGTTTTTAAGCATCTGTCAGTGCAAGAGCTCCTCCCGATGATCATCAGAGGACAAAGTCAGCTAATTTTTCTCTTTCTGGACTGAATCATCTTTTCAAAGGACTAAATACTTGACTATTTCATTAAAAGTTTCATTAAGAGCCTTGGTAGTACAGGGGTTTAAGGCACCCTGTTATTAAGCTGGTTATTAAGACCAGCTGCCTGCAATTACTGCAGGTTCGAATCTCTCCAAGGTTCAAGGCTGACTCAGCCTTCCATCCTTTCTAAGGTAGGTAAATTGAGGACCCAGTTGTGGGGGCAATAAGATGACTTTGTATAAAATATACAAAAGGATGAAGGCTATTGCTGAGCACATTGTAAGCCGCCCTGAGTCTTCGGAGAAGGGCGGCATATAAATCAAATTAAAAAAAAAAAAAGTCAATGTTCTCTCATTCCTATGTAGGCAGCACCAGGGGTGAAATGCTCCCGATTCGGATCACATTGCCCGATCTGGTAACGATGGAGGCGGGTGGTTCGGAGAACTGGTAGCAAAAATTCCTGCCCCCCCCATTGCCCAGCTGAGCCGCGCAATCATCAGAGGCTTTTTAAAAAAATTTTAAAAGCATTTTTTCTACAACGTCTTTGGCTGAAAAAATGCTTTTAAAGTAAAAAAAAAAGCCTCTGATGATCACGCAGCTCAGCTGGGATCATCAGAGGCTTTTAAAAGCATTTTTTCTACAACCTCTTCGGCTGAAGAGGTTGTAGAAAAAATGTTTTTAAAAGGAAAAAAAGCCTCTGCCAATCAGTCAAGTCAGCTGGGATCGCCAGAGGTTTTAAAAGCATTTTTTAAATTTTTTCAGCTGAAGATGTTGTAGAAAAAATGGTTTTAAAAGTAAAAAAAAAAAAAAAAGTTGGCCATGCCCACTCAGTCATATTAACCCCCACAAAACCCAAGCCACGCCTACAGAACCGGTAGTAACAAATTTTACATTTCACCACTGGGCAGCCCCCAATCATTTGGGGAACAAAGTGGACGTCTTTTGGGATGATGTTCCAATGAAGATCCAAATCTTGGAGTTTTCTCTTCGAACGCTTTCTTTTGTGTTCTTGACCCTTAAAACATCTTTTAGAACTTCCTTTATGGTTTTTCTCACAGACTTATGACTCTGCGACTGCTGATCCTCCTTGTAGTAAAGGTTTTTGTCTCAGTTCCTCATAGGTTTGTATCACTGTGGAACACATTACTAGGGTAATACCACACAGCACAGTGATAATCCGCCTCGTCTCCTGGCTGGAGGTCCCTGATGGTCAAATACCATTTATTTTGGCTGCTTTCCTTGGAGGCAGAGAAGCAGCTGAAGTCTCCAGAGCCTGCACTTGGACTGCTGTAGTAATACAAAACCAATCTAGGAGAACCGCCTTCTTTTTGTTGATACCAGAATTGGGAATAAGATTGTACTTGTCCACTGCTCAAGGAACAAGAGAGTTTGACCGTCTGTCCTAGGGAAGGTGACATGGAGGATTCCTGAATCACTGTAGGATGGGAACTGGATCCTGGGAAAAGAATAATTGTCTAAGTTTATGTTCTTGGGGTCATTACTAGGGGAAGATCCTTGACCTGGTGGTCCTTCACTCACCTGTGCACCAGATCCCCAAAAGGACAATGAGAGATAGTCCCAACATGTTGAGACCTTCTTGGGCTTCTGGTGATTGAGCCCCTCTGTTAACGCAAGTACCTTTTATTGGGGGGCTTCTTAGATCAACCCTCTTTTTTTCCCCAGGGCTTATTTGCATGGTTTGCTCCTCCTCCTCCTCATTTCCTGACTTCTCATTGGTTCATGTGTCTCAGTTAAGGGGCACCTTTATGCAGGTAATGCTTACTTATTTTCTTGCATCAAGGTGTCTCCTGAGAGTTAGTAGAGGATTTTGGTTAGCTATTGGTCTAGGAGTGGACTAGCTTGGATCCTGTTTTCTCCACCTGGCATGGAAGCAAGGTGGGTGGTTTGGGCCAGTCACTCCTCTCGACTCTTCCTTGGGATCTCAAAATACATCCTGGAAGTAGCCAATGGCCAAATGGTCTCCCTCTCCTCAATTTATTCAGGGTCAACTCTATTCAGCCTATCTGTTGTTTCATCTATTTGTCCCCAAGGCCGGTGGGACAAAATGCTGTTGACATTCCTGCTGTCTGATTCGCATAGTGATGTTAGGAGAGGAGGAGAGGAGGGGAGGGGAGAGGAGAATAGGAGAGAGGGGAGGGGAGAGGAGAGGAGCTTTCTCAAGACATATTGAAATCAGGCAGCAATCTTTCGCCCAATGTTGTTTCTTGAATGAGTGATTTGCAAAATTTGACAAAATCTTTTCTCAAGAACTGCTAACATTCTCCAAGCTGTTACATCTCCCCTTTTTGTCCAGGAGTCCAAGTTCTCAGGAGAGATAGAAAAGTAATTAGAAAAAAAAACAGCTAACAAAGAGAGAGTCTAATATATCAGAAAACAGCAGTTTCTTTTCAAGAAACTAGCTGATGTGGCTTTTTTTTTTTTTTTTTTGCAATTTGGTTTCCGTTCCTCTCAGGTGAGGTTCAGGGCAGGAGCTCCTCCAGATGGTCACAGAGAGGAGCCATCAGCTAATTTCCTTCTGTTCTAGTGATCTAGAACTATTGATCTACCCATATCAGGCATTGTTCTTTCCCCAAAATCTTCAAATGAAGTTTCGAGCCTTGGAGTTGTCCCTTCGAACACTTTTTTTTGTGTTCATGATCCTTAAAACATCTTTTAGAACTTCCTTTATGGTTTTTCTTACAGACTTATGACTCTGCGACTGCTGCTCCTCCTTGTAGTAAAGGTTTTTGTCTCAGTTCCTCATAGGTTTGTATCACTGTGGAACCCATTACTAGCACTATACCACACAGCACAGTGATAATCAGCCTCGTCTTCTGGCTGGAGGTCCCTGATGGTCAAATACCATTTATTTTGGTTGCTTTCCTTGGAGGCAGAGAAGCGGCTGAGGTCTCCAGTGCCTGCGGTTGCACTGCTGTAGTAATAATAAAGGAATCTTGGAGAACCTCCTTCTTTTTGTTGATACCAGGATTGGGGATAAGACGTTACTGATCCACTGCTCAGGGAACAAGAGAGTTTGACCGTCTGTCCTGGGGCAGGTGACATGGAGGATTCCTGAATCACTGTAGGCTGGGAACTGGATCCTGGAGAAAGAAAAATGCTCTAGATTTGTTTCTTGGACTCATTGTTACAGATTATTACAGATTAACAGAGTTGGAAGGGACCTTGTAGGTCATCTAGTCCAACTCCCCACCCAAGTAGGGGAGCCTACACCATTTCTGACAGATGGCAGTCCAGTCTCTTCTTGAAAGCTTCCAGTGATGAAGCTCCCACAATTTCCGAAGGCAACTTCTGTTCCATGGATTGATTGTTCTCATTGTCAGAAAATTTCTCCTTATTTCTAGGCTGAATCTCTCCTTGATTCATTAATTTCATTAATAGGGGAAGGTTTTTTGTACTGGGTGGTCCTTCACTCACCTGTGCACCAGATCCCCAGAAGGACAATGAGAGATGCTCCCAACATTTTGAGAAGTTCTCAGGCTGATGTGAATTCAGCCTCTGCTTCAATGTAAGTGCCTTTTATTGGGGGCTTCTTAGATCAACCCCTTTTTTTTCGAGGAGCCATTTGCATTCTGTGCTCTTCCTCTTGCTTTCCTGACTTCTGATTGGTTCATGTCTCCCAACATAGGGGAACTTTCATGCAGGTGATGCTAATTTATTTCCTTGCATCAGCTTGTCTCCATGGAGATCAAATGCGCTGGTTGTTCAGATATTGGTCTACGAGTAGACCAATATGGAACCTGCTTCCTCCGCCCAGAATGGAAGCAAGGTTGGGGCATTCACTGTCCTCAACATTTCCTTGGGATGTCTAAAAACATCCAGGAAGAAGATAATGGCCAAATGGTCTCCCTCTCCTCAGTTTATTCAGGGTCAACTCTATTCAGCCTATCTGTTGTTTCATCTATTTGTCCCAAGGACGGTGGGACAAAATGCTGTTGACATTCCTGCTGTCTGATTCGCATAGTGATGTTAGGAGAGGAGGAGAGGAGGGGAGGGGAGTGGAGAATAGGAGAGGGGAGGTAAGGGAGAGGAGGGGAGCTTTCTCAAGACCTATTGAAATCAGGCAGCAATCTTTCTCCCAATGTTGTTTCTTGAACGAGCGATTTGCAAAATTCGACAAAATCTTTCCTCAAGAACTGCTAACATTCTCCAAGCTGTTACATCTCCCCTTTTTATCCAGCAAGTTCTCAGGAGAGATAGAAAAGAAATTAGAAAAAAAACAGCTAACAAAGAGAGAGTCTAATATATCAGAAAACAGCAGTTCCTTTTCAAGAAACTAGCTGATGTGGCTTTTTTTTTTTTTTTTTTTTGCAATTTGGTTTCAGTTCCTCTCAGGTGAGGTTCAGGGCAGGAGCTCCTCCAGATGGTCACAGAGAGGAGCCATCAGCTAATTTCCTTCTGTTCTAGTGATCTAGATCAATTGATCTACCCATATCAGGCACTGATCTTTCCCCAAAATGTTCAAATGAAGTTTCGAGCCTTGGAGTTTTCTCTTCGAACACTTTTTTTTTGTGTTCATGATCCTTAAACATCTTTTAGAACTTCCTTTATGGTTTTTCTCACAGACTTATGACTCTGCGACTGCTGCTCCTCCTGGTAGTAAAGGTTTTTGTCTCAGTTCCTCATAGGTTTGTATCACTGTGGAACCCATTACTATCACTATACCACACAGCACAGTGATAATCAGCCTCGTCTTCTAGCTGGACATTGGTGATGGTCAAATACCATTTATTTTGGTTGCTTTCCTTGGAGGCAGAGAAGCGGCTGAGGTCTCCAGTGCCTGCGGTTACACTGCTGTAGTAACGATAAAGGAATCTTGGAAAACTTCCTTCTTTCTGTTGATACCAGGATTGGTCATAATTTTGTACTTGTCCACTGCTCAGGGAACAAGAGAGTTTGACCGTCTGTCCTGGGGCAGGTGACATGGAGGATTCCTGAATCACTGTAGGCTGGGAACTGGATCCTGGAGAAAGAAAAATGCTCTAGATTTGTTTCTTGGACTCATTGTTACAGATTATTACAGATTAACAGAGCTGGAAGGGACCTTGTAGGTCATCTAGTCCAACTCCCTGCCCAAGTAGGGGAGCCTACACCATTTCTGGCAGATGGCAGACAAGTCTCTTCTTGAAAGCTTCCAGTGATGAAGCTCCCACAATTTCCGAAGGCAACTTCTGTTCCATGGGTTGATTGTTCTCATTGTCAGAAAATTTCTCCTTATTTCTAGGCTGAATCTCTCCTTGATTCATTAATTTCATTAATAGGGGAAGGGTTTTTTGTACTGGGTGGTCCTTCACTCACCTGTGCACCAGATCCCCAGAAGGACAATGAGAGATGCTCCCAACATTTTGAGAAGTTCTCAGGCTGATGTAAATTCAGCCTCTGCTTCAATGTAAGTGCCTTTTATTGGGGGCTTCTTAGATCAACCCCTTTTTTTCGAGGAGCCATTTGCATTCTGTGCTCTTCCTCTTGCTTTCCTGACTTCTGATAGGTTCATGTCTCCCAACATAGGAGAACTTTCATGCAGGTGATGCTTATTTATTTCCTTGCATCAGCTTGTCTCCATGGAGATCAAATGCGGTGGTTGTTCAGATATTGGTCTACGAGTAGACCAATATGGAACCTGCTTCCTCCACCCAGAATGGAAGCAAGGTTGGGGCATTCACTACCCTCAACATTTCCTTGGGATGTCTAAAAACATCCAGAAAGAAGATAATGGCTAAAGGATCTCCCTCTCCTCAGTTTATTCAGGGTTAGCCATATTTAGCCTTGGTGTGGCTTCATCTACTGTATTTAAAGAATTTATGTCCTGTGGAGGGTGGGACAAATTGCCAACATGCAAGCATTTCTCGTCTGCTGTCGCTGTGGTTTCTACAGCCCGTGAAAGTGCCTCGTTGGAGAATTGATATATATGACACAGCCTGAGAGGGGTGGGGGAAACAGGGTCATAGTTGAGCTGTAAATTACGTGCAGCAGTGTTGACTACATTGGGAAGCTGCCAATATGTTGCTCCTAATAAATAACTGGATTTCTTTTGAAACTTAGCTCGAGGCTCATGAGTTAATTAGGGCATTCATCAGAGCCCTGACAGCTAGTCAAATACTAGACAAATACTGTTGCCAGTCTCCCTGTCCAGTCCTAAGAGTGATGTTAGGAAGCCTCAGTCTTCAAAGGTGGAGCTGCTAGATGTCATGCAGTTGCCTAAGCTGTTATCTCTCCCCTTTGTCTAGACGTTTTTAGGAAAGACATAAAGGAAGAATTAGGCGAAATGGCTAACAAAGATGTGTCAGAAAACAGCAGTCTCTTTTAAAGGGGTCTACAGACTTCCAATATTGAGTCAGGGCATTCTGCATACTTATAATGTCCAATCAAATCCAGAATATGGTTGAAAATCAGATAAGAATGAAGGAAAAGTCATTCTTTTCAGTTATTGAAAGGAAATGGTTGCAGTTTGTAGAGCTGAAATTAATAACTCCAACTGAGTTTTAATAGTTGGTGTTGCTTTGTGCATTTTGGTCTCATTTCCTCTAAAGTTGGTTATGGTAGGAGCTCCTCCAGCTGGTCATAGAAAAGAGATACCAGCTAATTTTCTACTAAACTATTAGTTCTAGATCTACTGATCTAACAAATATCAGGGATCGGTCTTCCGACACAAATAGTGTTGTCTCTTGAACAGATGATTTTAAAACCTCAATAAAAACTTACCTCAAGCACTGTTGACATCCTCTAAGTTGGTTATCTCTCCAATTTGACAGATGGGGTGACACTGGGCTACTCAGAAGAGAGGCCTTCTGAAGACCTCCTATTCCATCTTAGGCCATGTCTGATCCCCGCATCGCTTGTTCAGGCCCATCCATTTGTAATCATGTTGATAGATGGGTGTATCGGCTCAATTGGACTCGGTTGGAGGGTGAGAAAATAGTGTCCATAATTTCAGTGTTCTGATTTAAGAATTTGGGCTTCACTGGAGAGTGGTGATCCTTCTGGATTCCCGTAATCTTAGATCAGGGTTAATTCTTAAAAGATTTTTAAGCATCTGTCAGTGCAAGAGCTCTTCCCGGTGATCATAGAGAGAAGATCAGTTAATTTTCCTCTTTCTGGACTGAATCATCTTTTCAAAGGACTAAATACTTGACTATTTCATTAAAGTCAAGGTTCTCTCATTCCTATGTAGGCAGCACCCAATGGTTTGGGGAACAAAGTGGACGTCTTTTGGGACAATGTTCAAATGAAGTTTGAAGTCTTGGAGTTTTCTCTTCGAACACTTTTTTTTTGTGTTCATGATCCTTAAAACATCTTTTAGAACTTCCTTTATGGTTTTTCTCACAGACTTATGACTCTGCGACTGCTGCTCCTCCTTGTAGTAAAGGTTTTTGTCTCAGTTCCTCATAGGTTTGTATCACTGTGGAACACATTACTAGCACTATACCACACAGCACAGTAATAATTAGCCTCGTCTCCTGGCTGGATGTCCCTGATGGTCAAATACCATTTATTTTGGCTGCTTTCCTTGGAGGCTGAGAAGCGGCTGAGGTCTCCAGTGCCTGCAGTTGCACTGCTATAGTAACGATACAGGAATATTGGAGAACCTCCTTCTTTTTGTTGATACCAGGATTGGTAATAAGTTGTTACTGATCCACTGCTCAGGGAACAAGAGAGTTTGACCGTCTGTCCTGGGGCAGGTGACATGGAGGATTCCTGAATCACTGTAGGCTGGGAACTGGATCCTGGAGAAAGAAAAATGCTCTAGATTTGTTTCTTGGACTCATTGTTACAGATTATTACAGATTAACAGAGCTGGAAGGGACCTTGTAGGTCATCTAGTCCAACTCCCCGCCCAAGTAGGGGACCCTACACCATTTCGACAGATGGCAGTTCAGTCCCTTCTTGAAAGCTTCCAGTGATGAAGCTCCCACAATTTATGAAGGCAACTTCTCTTCCATGGATTGATTGTTCTCATTGTCAGAAAATTTCTCCTTATTTCTAGGCTGAATCTCTCCTTGATTCATTAATTTCATTAATAGGGGAAGGTTTTTTTTGTACTGGGTGGTCCTTCACTCACCTGTGCACCAGATCCCCAGAAGGACAATGAGAGATGCTCCCAACATTTTGAGAAGTTCTCAGGCTGATATAAATTCAGCTTCTGCTTCAATGTAAGTGCATTTTATTGGGGGCTTCTTAGATCAACCCCTTTTTTTCAAGGAGCCATTTGCATTCTGTGCTCTTCCTCTTGCTTTCCTGACTTCTGATTGGTTCATGCCTCCCAACATAGGAGAACTTTCATGCAGGTGATGCTTATTTATTTCCTTGCATCAGCTTGTCTCCATGGAGATCAAATGCGGTGGTTGTTCAGATATTGGTCTACGAGTAGACCAATATGGAACCTGCTTCCTCCACCCAGAATGGAAGAAAGGTTGAGTTATTCACTGCCCTCAACATTTCCTTGGGATGTCTAAAAACATCCAGGAAGAAGATAATGGCTAAAAGATCTCCCTCTACTCAGTTTATTCAGGGTTAGCCATATTTAGCCTTGATGTGGCTTCATCTACTGTATTTGTAGAATTTATGTCCTGAGGAGGGTGGGACAAATTGCCAACTCGCAAAGCATTTCTAGTCTGCTCTCGCTGTGGTTTCTACAGCCCGTGAAAGTGCCTCATTGGAGAATTGATATATGACACACAGCCTGAGAGGGGTGGGGGGAAACAGGGTCATAGTTGAGCTGTAAATTATGTGCAGCAGAGTTGACTACATTTGAGAAGCTGCCAATATGTTGCTCCTAATAAATAACTGGATTTCTTTTGAAACTTAGCTCGAGGCTCATGATTTAATTAGGTCATTCATCAGAGCCCTGACAGCTAGTCAAATACTAGACAAATACTGTTGCCAGTCTCCCTGTCCAGTCCTAAGAGTGATGTTAGGAAGCCTCAGTCTTCAAAGGTGGAGCTGCTAGATGTCATGCAGTTCCCTAAGCTGTTACCTCTCCCCTTTGTCTAGACATTTTTGGGTAAGACATAAAGGAAGAATTAGGTGAAATGGCTAATAAAGATGTATCAGAAAACAGCAGTCTCTTTTAAAAGGGTCTACAGACTTCCAATATTGAATCAGGGAATTCTGCATACTTATAATGTCCAATCAAATCCAGAATATGGTTGAAAATCAGATAAGAATGAAGGAAAAGTCATTCTTTTCAGTTACTGAAAGGAAATGGTTGCAGTTTGTAGAGCTGAAATTAATAACTCCAACTGAGTTTTAATAGTTGGTGTTGCTTTGTGCATTTTGGTCTCATTTCCTCTAAAATTGGTTATGGTAGGAGCTCCTCCAGCTGGTCATAGAAAAGAGATACCAGCTAATTTTCTACTAAACTATTAGTTCTAGATCTACTGATCTACCAAATATCACAAATAGTGTTGTCTCTTGAACAGATGATTTTAAAACCTCAATAAAAACTTTCCTCAAGCACTGGTGACATCCTCTAAGTTGGTTACCTCTCCTATTTGTCCAACAACTTTTAGGAATAGAAGAATTAGATGAAATTAAAAAGAAGTGATTCCTGCTGTCTGATTCTCATAGTGATGTTAGGAGAGGAGGAGAGGAGATGATAGGAGGGGAGGGGAGAAGAGAATAGGAGAGAGGAGGGGAGGGGAGGGGAGGTAAGGGAGGGGAGAGGAGCTTTCTCAAGACGTATTGAAATCAGGCAGCAATCTTTCTCCCAATGTTGTTTGTTGAACAAGCGATTTGCAAAATTCAACAAAATCTTTTCTCAAGAACTGCTAACATTCTCCAAGCTGTTACATCTCCCCTTTTTGTCCAGCAAGTTCTCAGGAGAGATAGAAAAGTCTAATATATCAGAAAACAGCAGTTCCTTTTCAAGAAACTAAAGCCCTGAGAGAGATATGTCTGGAATGTGCTTTTGTTTTTTGGTTGCTGTGCTGCTTTGCCATTTCCCCATCCCCCTTGCCTATGGCAACTTGAGAGCAGGCCAGGGATGCTTTGCAAGTTAGCAAGGAGTCTGGAAGGTTCAAAGAGATTTTTTTTCAATCAAGCATAACATCAAGGGCAGCTTCTATCTGCTACTCAAAAAGAAGAGGCCACCTTCATTGAATCTTCTGTCTCAACTTGAGAGAAAAGGGATGTTGCTTGAAGAATTGAGATCACTGAAAGGACTCCTGAATGCTGCTGCTCTTTCTTCTCTTGGAGGTTTTTGTCTCAGTTCCTCCTGGGTTTGTATCACTGTGGAACGCACTACTAGCACCATACCACATAGCACAGTAATAATCAGCCTCGTCTCCTGGCTGGATGTCCCTGATGGTCAAATACCATTTATTTTGGCTGCTTTCCTTGGAGGCAGAGAAGCGGCTGAGGTCTCCAGTGCCTGCGGTTGCACTGCTGTAGTAATAATAAAGGAATTTTGGAGAACCTCCTTCTTTCTGTTGATACCAGGATTGTTCATAAGATGTTACTTGTCCACTGCTCAGGGAACAGGAGAGTTTGACTGTCTGTCCTGGGGCAGGTGACATGGAGGATTCCTGAATCACTGTAGGCTGGGAATTGCATCCTGGGGAGAGAATAAAACTCTAGGTTTGTGTTCTTGGGTTCATTACTTGGGAAGGTTCTTGTATAAGGTGATCCTTCACTCACCTGTGCACCAGATCCCCAGAAGGACAATGAGAGATGCTCCCAACATTTTGAGAAGTTCTGGGGCCGCTGGAAATTCAGCTTCTGCTTTAATGCAAGTGCCTTTTATTGGGGGCTTCTTAGATCAACTCTCTTTTACCCCAGAATCCATTTGCATGGTTTGCTCCTCCTCCTCCTTTCCAGACTTCTCGTTGGTTCATATGTCCCAACAGAGAGGAACCTTCATGAAATCGATGCTTATTTATTTTCTTGCATCAAGCCGTCTAATGAGAGAGCAATGGGCTGGTTGTTCTGGTATTGGTTTAGTAGTGGCTTCATTCTTTTCTCTTGGGACCTGGAGATACTTAGGGTGGCCATGTTGCAGTAGCTGGTTTGGTTCCAAGATCTCTGTGGACCTCTTTCTGTCCTCATATATGATGAGGAGAGAACCTTTCTCAGGATCTATTGCTATCAAGGAACAGCCTTTCTTCCAATCCTATTCCTTGAACAACTCATCATCATCTTCTTTTAATGACCCCATAATCCCTTGTGGGGTGAATTCTGGGCAACTGAATGGAGCTAGCAGAGTGTTTTAATGGCCAGATGCCATTACTGTCACCAGTGCGGAGTGTTGTTCAGCAGATATATTCTCAATGTGCCCAGAGAGAGAAATATCTGCCTCTACCTAGGATTGAACTCACAGCCTCCTGACTGTGAGTCGAGAGCTCCACTTCTAGGCCACCACACCACTTCTTATTCCTTGAACAATTGATTTGCAAAATTCAAACAAAATTGTTTCTAAACCATTGGTACAGAGGTGGCATTCAGCAGGTTCTGACCAGTTCTGGAGAACCGGTAGTGAAAATTTTGAGTAGTTTGGAGAACCAGTAACTACCACTTCTGACTGGCCCTGCCCCCATCTAGTCTCTGCCTCCCGAGTCCCAGCTGATCGGGAGGAAATGGGGATTTTGCAGTAACCTTCTCCTGCCAAGCCCACCAAGCCACGCCCACAGAACTGGTAGTAAAAAATTTTGAATCTCACCACTGCATTGGTAACATCCTTTAAGCATTTAACCCTCCAAGAATAAATCTCCAGGAATTGTTTGGGTGTCCCTTGTGGGATGAGAAAGATGATTCCAGCTCATTATGTCTGCAGAAATAGAGTCACATGCTTGGGACTGAAGTGCAAATCAAGCCCACCAAGTAAAATTTGGCACCGATATTTATACAAAAAGTGTTCTTTGAACAACAACTTAAATCCATGTATTTCCTTTCATATGGTCATATGTTCACAATTAGTTGCGCACAAATGTTTTTGGGTGCAAGATTACATTTTGCGATATTTAGTACAAGATTATATTTGTTGGGTTGTCCTTTCATTAATCGTAGTGGGGGCTTATAGCCTTCCTAATCCTAGAGGAGAGGGAGGGAGAGGAATGGAAGGAAGGGAAAAGGAGAGGAAGGAAGGGGAGGGGACAGGAGTAGGAGAGAAGGTGAGAAAGGGGAAAAGAAGAGAGGAGTGGGGGAAAGGAAGGGGAAGTAGGATGAGGTAGGAGAGGAGGAAGGAGAAAGTAGGAGGAGATAGAGGAAGGAAGAGAAGGGGAGGAGAAGAAGAAAGTTTTGTTGCAAAATGAGGGAAGAAAGGGTAGAAGAGCAACTCCGAATGTAAATTAAAATGCCTTATTTTAATGCTTTCTTTAAGGAAAACATGTATATGTATGATTAATTATGAATAGGAAAATGTACATTTTATATTAGGTGCACAAGAAATAATTTTTTAATTTAATTTTTTTTAATTTTTAATTTGATTTATATGCCGCCCTTCTCCGGAGACTCAGGGTGGCTTACAATGCGTTAACCAATAGCCTTCATCCTTTTGTATATTTATACAAAGTCAGCTTATTGCCCCCACAACTGGGTCCTCAATTTACCTACCTTAGAAAGGATGGAAGGCTGAGTCAACCTTGAGCCTTGGCGTGATTCGAACCTGCAGTAATTGCAGGCAGCTGGTCTTAATAACAGGGTGCTTTAGACCACTGTACTACCAAGGCAAATAAAACTGAAAAACTTTTCAAAAAAAAAAAAAACCTTCCTAATCCTATCTTGTTCTATGCAGAAGTTTCCTGAAGCTTGTCAGTTTTACAAAGAAGCTTAGACGATCCAGTGCATAATTTAAGCAATTTTAACTCTGGGTGTCTTAGGTTGATATACAGTAATTTGGTCAAATCCTGGCTGACCTGATGTTGAATCCAACAACTTAATTCTACATCAGATTTGTTTTCTGAACCGGTGTTCTTTTGGGAGTTGAACTGCATTCCCATAAAAAGCCAATACCAGACCAGACTCCTTTCATTTTCCTTCCTGTGAGAAATACCTGTTATATTTTGAAATTTTAACCAGTAAAAATGTACTGAATGCAATGTTTTTTTTATTGCAACCATGATGAAGGTTGAGAATTCACTCCCTTCATTTTTCATTTGATTCAACAGTGAAGCAGAAAGTCTTTATGCTTAGCAAGGCTGTGAGAAGAACTGAGTCTATTAACTGTGTCACTATTTCGCAGGCCAGGCTGATGGTTCACTAAGAGGAAGAAGGAAGTGTTTGCAAGAGGAGGTTTTTGTCTCACTTCTGCAAGTGAGTGTATCACTGTGGATACCACCAGTTGCTGCCACTGCCGTAACCACCAGCACAATAGTAATCACCCTCATCCTCAGTCAGGACGTTTGTAATGGTTAAATAGGCTGCATTGGCAGAAGTGTCCTTGGACCCCGTGAACCGGCCATTGCTGCCAGCATTATAGAGAAGGTATTTGGGGCTCTCTGCAGCCTTCTGTTGGTACCAAGATATGCTATAGCTGCCCACTTGGCTGTCTTGGCTCATCTTACATGAGATCTTTACTGTTTCTCCCGGGGGAAACGATTGTGATGCCGGCTGAGTCAAGGTATACTGTGAGTTGGCTCCTGAAAATAAAATTAAAAAAAGGGAAGAGAATGAAGAGAGACATCCTATTCATCCACTCTTGGAGTATCTTTTGAAGAGCTGCTCTGACATCACTAAGTTTCGATGGGTTGGAAGGCATGGAAGGGGGTGGCTCTGACATCAGGATCAAACCAAAGTCACAGCTTGAACCTGATCCTTTACAAACCATGAATGTTCTCAGATGTAAATTCAGGGGTGAGAACTCTTCCTAAATTACCTGTGCAGCATATGAAGAAGAAAGCCAAGAGCAGAGACCAGGCCATGATGGAGAACTGAGCTTTCTGGGAAACTGAGATTGGGAAACTGCCGTGTTCCCTTTAAACTCCCTCCAGGGATCTGGCTTTACCCCTTTATGCAAATTCAACTTGCATCTCATTAGTAGTTTTTGATAAAAAAGGATTTCACTTGGAGGAAAGAGATGGTTTCCTGTTCCTCTTTTTATCTCTTCTTTGGTTCGTCTCTCTAGACCGTTGATATACTTAGGGCGGCCATGTTACAGTAGCTGGTTTGGTCTAAGATCTCCATAGATGTATTCTGTCCTTATATATGATGAGGAGAGGACCTTTCAATTCAGAATGGAGCTGGAAGGGACCTTGGAGATCTTCTAGTCCAACCTTCTGCTCAAGCAGAAGAGCCTATACCATTCTGGACAAATGACTGTCCAGGCTCTTCTTGAAAACCTCCAAGGATTAAGCACCCTGAAGGCTTAATTAAGTCTGAAGGCAACTTCTGTTCCATTGGATAATTCTTCTCAATGTTAGGAAATTTCTCCTCAATTCCAGGTTGCTTCTCTCCCTGATTCATTTCCATCCATTGTTTCTTGTTCTGCCCTTCGGTGCTTTGAAAAATAAGTTGACCCCGTCTTCTTTGTGGCAGCCCCTCAAATACTTGAATACTTCTATCGTGTCACCTCCTAGTCCTCCTTCTTTCTCGAGTAGCCATATCCAATTCTTGCAGCTGTTCTTCATAGGTTTTAATCTCTAGGCCTTTTAATCATCTTAGTTGCTCTTCTCTGCACTCTTTCCAAAGTCTCAGCATCTTTTTGGTAATGTGGTGACCAAAACTGGATGCAGAATTCAAGGTGTGGTCTTACTAAAGTTTTATAAAGATTGATTGGTCTATCAATGTATAGACTCTTCCAATCTTATTACTTGAACAACTGATTTGCAAAATAAAGTTTTTTTTCCCCCTGAAGAACTGGTAACATTCTTTAAGCCTTTAACCCTCCAGGAATAAATCCCCAGGAATTGTTTGTGTGTCAAACTTTGGATGAGAATGTTGATTCCAGCTGATTATTTCTGCAGAAATGGAAGCCTCACGCTTGGGACAGAGGTGCAAATCAAGCACCCTGAATAAAAATTGGCTCAGATATTACAAAAAACTTTCTTTGTACAAATTGTCCATTTATTTGATTCTTTTTAAAAGGTCACTATTCACATTTAGTTGACTACATCTGTCACTCTTGATGCAAGATTACGTTTTGTCATCATTAGTAGGAGATTATATTTATCATATTGTTCTTTCGTTAATCATAGCTTATTGTCAGAACTTTCTTGCTGCACACTTTAGGTTGTCAGTTTTGCAAGGAAGCGTAGAAGATCCACTGCCTAATTTAATAGATTTTAACTCTGGGGTTCTTGTGTTCACATTATTTGGTCAATTTCCCAGCGAACTTGATGTCGAAGCCTTTATTTTATATTACTAAAAACTTCAGAATCCCCGAGAAATTAGGATTTTTGTACAATCATTTTCCAAACTGAAATCCATGTTGGAGAAATTCAGCATATCTCCTGGGTTGCTCTGTCCACACTGAAGTAAAGCCGTGTTTTTAGTTTAGATATTCAGCTTCAATTTGACATTGTCTCTCCTCTAAAAATATTTTTAAAATGTAGTAAGAGCTCCTCCCCATGGCCAAACCTCTGTTGAGACAGATTGCATCATCTTTTGAGAGAGGGTTCTTAAAAGGGGAAGCAGTTGGTTCTTTTTAAAGCTCAGGGAAGCTTGCATTTGCAACCACATTCGAATAGAAAAGTGCCAAATAGTGGTTAAAGTCATAGATTAGAGATTAAGAGATCAGCTCAGGTTCAGCCA